GGAGCCGAAAAGCGTCCGGATTACCACGCCCGAGTCGCGTGCTCTGAATTCCTGAGGGTGGCGTGGGACGCGTAAAAATACGTGAAACTCGCACCCCCGAGGCCATAAACCGTTATACGTTACACAATATTTGCGTCCCCGAGGCCATAAACCCTCGCGAATTACACATTATTCGCGTCCCCGAAGCCATACACCCTAGCAAAATACGCCACAGTGGTGTCCCCGAAACCATACACCGTTGTACATTATGCAATGCTACGCTTTTAAATCACGCGGTATTCGCGCCCCCGAAGACATAAACCTTCGTAAATTAAGCTGTATTCGCGTATCCGAAGCCATAAACCCTTGTAAATTATACCATATTCGCGTCTCCGAAGCCATAAACCGTTGTAAATTATGCAATGTTTGCGTTCCCGATGCAACACACCAGTGAAAAGTAAGTACTACTCGCGCCCCCGAAACCATAACCCTTCGCAAATTAAGCTATATTCGCGTATCCGAAGCCATAAACCTTTTTGTAAATTATACCATGCTCGCGTCTCCGAAGCCATAGACCTGCGTAAATGACGCACGTTCTGCGACCCCGAAGCAATAAACCCTCGTACATTATATAAGAATCGCGTCTCCGAAACCATAAACCTTAGCAAAATATAACAGACTCGCATCTCCGAAGCCATAAGCCTGTGTAAATGACACAATAGTTGCTTCCCCGAAGCCATAAACCTTCGCACATTAGATAATATTCGCGTATCCGAGGCCATAAGCCATCGTAAATTATATTAGATTCGCGTCTCCGAAGCCATCAACCCTTGTACATGACATTTAAAGTACTCTTTCCTCGCGTCCCCGAAGCCATACACCATCGTGAATTACATTATAATCTCGGCCAGGAAACCATAAACCTTTATAAGTTGTAAAGTTTATAATTTATAAAGATTTGTCGCATTTCTGAAATTCGGCGGCACCCCTCACGCAGATCGGCGGGGTCAGTGTCGAAAAACCAATGGGATTTGCCACAGTTTTGAAAGTCGGCGGCACCCCTTACGCAGATCAGTAGGGTCAGGGTCGAAAAACCAATGGGATTTGCCACATTTCTGAAATTCGGCGGGAAACCTCAGTGCACAGCATACGGAGGCAGGTTCAAAATGCAACGCTGAGTTCAACAATATCATCCGAATCTAAAATTATCTTGCCGATGCTGCTTCACGGCGGCGCCGAAGCCTCATGATTTAGCTCTTGCATAGCCAATGATCCGAGAGAGGGGGCCGGCGGCAGGGAGCGAAGCCCTTACGGATAAACACAAATCCCAAGATCCCCAATATTTTCCCATATTGTCTGTTCCATATTGTCTGGACTGTCGTTTTCCCCACCGAATCCCATATTTTCATATTTTTCGGGGGATCGACGATTATTTGTGTCTGTGTGTCTTTTCCCCTCCCGAGCCTCCCCACTCTGGAGCGCCAGCAGGGCAGGCCGAGAGGCGCTCCCCCTGCCCTCCCGCTCCTGCCGCCCGAGGCTCCCTCCTGGGCCGGTTGGGCGTCCGAGTCCGTGCGGCCACCGAGCGGGCCTCGGGATCGAGCTCGTGCCGGCGGCCGAGCGGGCTGAGTTCCCGCGACGCCCTGTCGCAGCCGAGCCCGTGCGGCTGCTCACTCGGCGGCCGAGCGGGCTCGGACCCTGAACGGCCGCAGAAGGGAACCTTTGGGGCCTTTAGGGTGCCACTCCCTCGCCCCTCTGCTCCCCATCCCCACCTCCTCCAAGGCACGGCAAGGGCACTGCGCGCCAGGGCCCACGCTACCCTGCGCTTCCCTCCCCCCCTCCCCTCGGCAGTCGTCCGGAATTGCGTTTCCCATAATTAAAAAAAAGATGGAAACGCAATTCCGGCTTATTGAGTGCAGTTGTTTAGAGACAATTGCGTTTCCCATAATTCGCAAGGCTTCCCTCCTCGGTCCCCTCTTCTTCCTTCTTCTTCTCCTCCTCTCTCCTTCTCTCTCTCCTCCTCCTCCTCCTCCTCCTGTTCCTCCTCCTCCTCCTCCTCCTCCTCCTCCCTCTGATTATCCTTGCAATCCCTTATCTTCCTTGCCTCCCCCCCTTTCCCGCCCTCCTCCACTCCTCCTTCTTCTTCTTCCTCGCCCCTCCTCCTCTCCTCCTTCTCTCCTCCGCCGCCGCCGTCGCCGACGCGGCCGCTGCCGCCAGCGCAGGTCGCTGTCATCGTCGCTGGCCGCTGTCGTCGCTGTCGCCGCCGCCGCCCCGCCAGCGTCGTCGTCGTCGTCGTCGTCGTCGTCGTCGTCGTCGTCGTCGTCGTCGTCGTGGCTGCCGCCGCCGCCCGCCGCCGCCGCCCACCGACACCGCGCTCCTGCGGAATCGCGCACGGCGCTGCGCCGGGCCGCTCCAGCGGCGGCGGCGCCGCCTTCGCTGGCGGCGGCGCGGGCGGGGCCGCCTCGGCGTTGGGCCGGCGCGGGGGCGCCTTCGACGGCGCGGGCACCGCGGGCTGCGGGACGGCCTTGGCAGCTGGCAGGCCTCCTCCTTGGTCTTCATCGCTCTGCCTCTGTTCTCCTCCTCCCTCCGCCTCCGCGGTCGTCCAGCGCGATGCCTGTTGGGCTCCCCCTGTCGCTGTCGCTGTCGCTGTCAGCATCGGCGTCCGAGTGGGACGGTGCCATCAAGAGTACCTCTTCCTCCTCATCCAACTCCTCCTCCTCTTCCTCCTCCTCCTCCTCCTCCTCCTCTCTCCTCCTCTCTCCTCCTCTATTCTCCTCTCTCCTCCTCTCTCCTCCTCTCTCCTCCTCTCTCCTGCTCTCATCCTCCTCCTCCATCCTCCTCTCTCCTCCTCTCTCCTCCTCTCTCCTCCTCTCTCCTCCTCTCTCCTCTCTCCTCCCCTCCTCCTCCTCTCTCCTCCTCTCTCCTCTCTCTCTCCTCTCTCCTCTCTCCTCTCTCCTCCTCTCCTCCTCTCTCCTCCTCCTCCTCCTCCTCCTCCTTCTCCTCCTCCTCCTCCTCCTCCTCCTCCTCCTCCTCCTCCTCCTCCTCCTCCTCCTCCTCGGTCGGTCGGTCGGTGCCTAAGGGAATGAGTCTGGATCCCAATCGATGTGTGAGACGAGAGCGGCAGCAGAGAGAAAAAGGAGCAGAGGCAGCGATCGCGGGAGCGTGCAAGCCTCAACTGTGAAACGATGTCACTTCCCCCCAGTTACAAAGCCCAGTCCCAATCCACAATGAGCCCCTTTAAATGCCCAGTCCTGGTGCTGAGAGTCGAGCCAGTACGCGTGATGAATGACCTCGACGCTTAGGTAGATCACAGCCACGGTCGGCGGGGGAAAATGACGAGCACTCAGGTGCTGGGAGCAGGAGGTACTGCCATCACGCAGTTTCTCCCTGGTCAATTCGGGCTAGACCGGGTACGGCCGACGAGTCGGCGAAAAAGATACCTTCCCCCGAATACAGCAAGAGTTGTGGTGCTGCGCACACCCCTAGCCACAAAAAACACCCCTAGTGGCGAGCGTTCACAGGGTCGCACACAGCAGGGTTGCAATAGTTAGAAACGTCCTTCCCACTTAGGGCACTGCGAGAGTAGGTGCCGCGCACACCGCGCTTCTATTGAGTGGGGAGTCTGGTACGCTGATGAGCGTAGTCACGGCCCCTCTGGAACTCAAAGAAGGGGTCGAGAGGAACAAAGAAAGGGGCGACGTTTTCCTCCAGCACAAGAGGGGGGTCCCCCACATAATCAAATTGAAGCTGAATAGAGGCGAACACGGACTGGGCCAGGAAACGGCGGAGAGGGGAGGGGGAAGTTTTGACGGCAGCCGTATTCCAACCCCCACTCGTTTCTCCTCCCTCCAGGACCATCGGGTGAGCACTGTGCTGGCACCTCCCTCGGTGCGATAACTCCCTGAGCAGTTGACTCATCATGGGCACATTGATCCCCAGCAGGGAGGTTGGCTTTTTGGCCCTCAGCCCAAACATACATTGATCAATTATGTGCAACTGGACCCCGGGCATCCTAACAAAAACGAGCCAGAAAAGGGAGGTGCCAGCTGCTGGGGACATTCGGGCGATGCTCTGCTGGAGCAGGATGCTCCATCAAGGCTGCTAGTCCAAGCTTCCAGGCCGCCACGAGAAACTCAAGAGTGGTGCGCAATAGAGCATTGCCCACATCGATTTGCGTCTGTGCTCTTGTTCTCTGGGCTTTCGGCAGCGTAACCCCCATAGCATAGATGGTGACCTCAGTGGTCGGGGGTGGGGTCCAGGGGTGTTCTCAGCAATCTCACGATGGCGAGCAACACTCCACGTTTCACAAGGGGGGGCCGCAACCACACCCGCAATCCATCCTTCACGCATCAGTCTTAACCAAAAAAGCGATGTCAGGTTTAGACAAGTACCGATAGGTGGGACAATGTGTAACATCAAGAGACAGGACCACAATGGCCACCCGATACTGCAAAACCACTTGTTCAATCCACTCCTGAAGATCCCCTACGCGACGTTGGCCCGAAAAACGGCGGAGCAGGTAGCGGTGGGGCCTCGCAGGAGGAGAGGGCGGACAGAAGGGCGGCGGAGGAGGAGGAGGCGGGGGAGAGGGAGCAACGGGCTCGTCCACAAGCGGTTCTTGGGCAACCACTTTGAGTCCCCTAGGGGGGCCCCAGCACTTTGAGCGGCGGGTGGTGTGCGAAATCGTCCGTCATACCACGGGCACGGTTTGCACTCTGTTCCCGACCCCTTTCAGCACGCGCATCATCAATCTCGGCCAGGGAGGGCCTGACACCAGCAGCCACGAGACCCCTGAAACACGCCCTCGCCTTGGCAAGGTGTTTATACAGCCGTCCGTTAGCTCGGAAACTCAACAGCAGATGTGGCAAACCGTGCCCGTCGCAATCATGGAGGGAGTGAGCTTGTGGGGGTGTTGCTTGCCTCTATGGCTCCGGAGAGTCCTCTCTGTGGTGAATGTCTGCCCGCACTCGTAACGCGCGTAGCCCTGCGCCTCCACAATTTTGTCCTGGTGCATGGGCGTGCTCTTCACCGCCTCGGCAATGCGCTTGTCCCACAAGAGCAGTCGGTGCTGGTCACGCCACCAGGCTCTCGCACAAGCAAGAGCACTTCTGATTGGGGCCTTGAAACGGTGGGGGTCTAATTGCACGGCTTCGACCCACTCATCCAGCCCCCCGCTTCCTGGGGCATTTTTTGGACCCACCAAAAGCGTGAGCCAGTCTAGGCTCTCCCCCAAGGCACGGGCCCAGCTAGAAGGTTCGAGTAGGGCTACATCGAGTAGTCGGAGCAGGAAGCGGGGCGCCGACCGGAACAGCCTTACTAGAAACCTAAGTCGGCAAACATGGACAACCACTTCCCAAGGCAAGCTTTCAGCTCTCGCCATGACTTCTAAATAGGAGTAGTGAGTATCTGCAGAATTCGCTGCAGGCAGCCCCAGGGCACAATGATAAATGAACTCATGAGTGACTCGAAGCCTCCCCCGCACGGCACTCGGCATCGGCTTCCAAAGAGCTGCGGCGTAGAACAACCTGCTGGACCCGAAGGCTTCCGCATATAGAAGTTTAGCTTCCAATCCAAAGGCTTTTCTAAGGGCAACAATCGCTTTGACAGGTCGCACTGCCGCTCTCGCCGCTATGCTCCTAGCAATAATCTCTAGTCCCTCCCCCCCGCTATCGGATAGCATGGCCCCCGGGCAGTTGTGGGCTCTGACCACTTCCACAGCAGTCTCGCGCTGTGGGGAAGTGATCAAGGGGGTCTTCGCCATATAGCATTCTAGAAGCTCTTTGGGACCCGACCCCCCTGAAGCGCAACATGATTTTGGTGTTGGTAGCGTTGAGCTTAAGGCCGTGTAAGGCACAAGCAACGAAAACAATATCGACAATCTCACTGAGGGCCTCAATGAGGCCCAGGGGATTTTCATCCGCCACCGAAGGGGTTAGATCATCAACGAACGACACACTGGTCGTCGCATCCAGGTCTTCTACTGTATGAGAGAAGGCTCCTACGTTTGCTTGCGGCCGCCATTGCAATCCTCTGTCCTCCATCTTGTCCACGATGTCGGTCTGGATGCTGGCGAATGCAATGTTGAAAACATCTGTGGCCATAATGGTGCCGGGTCGGCATCCCGCGCGGGGTATCACGAACCCTTCCGCACCCTGCACGGCCCAAAAGCCCCCCGCTGGGCCTCTCCTAGGAGCGCCAGTAGATGGGGGTTGTCAACGTGTTGCTCCATGAGTGGCCCTTCTTGAAGTTGGGCTCTGACTCCGACCAACAGCGCCGGGGGAATGGAAAGGTCTTCCGGGGTCTCTTCCAAAAGGTCCTCTTCTCCAGGTAGATCGTACACCAGCTGCCTTATAGTGGAGTAAAACGCAGCCGTCAGGTCAACAAACAAACTGCCACACGACATTTTTCGGGCCTCGGCGGCAGACCATAAGGATTTGACAAAATGAACGGCAGCGTCACACGATCTACCTGGCATCCCCCCACATTGTTGAATAATGAGGGCACAATGAAGATAGTCAAGTGAAAATCTCCTGAAAACTCATGATGAACTTTACAAGTGGTGTTGGTGCATAAGATGCTCCTCTGGTTTCTCGCCAGAGCAAGGCCCCCTTTGCCCTTGAAGAAAGACCCCACTCGACCATCTTTGAAATCTAGGGGTTCCCGCGTGGTCATCGCGACCTTTGTCAGTAAGGGTAAGATCACATCTGTAACTTGGATGGGCACGAGTTTCAGCAAATCTGGTACCAACCCATCGGGTCCTGGCGCCCCCCCCCCCAGGCATGCTACGTAGGAGGCTGACAGAATAGTATTTCGTAAGCATCTTTCCGATGACTCGAAGGGCGTCATCCGACAAAAGTGAGATCATCTTATTGTAGTGATCTCTAACATCGCTTTCATCAGTAACTCTCCCCTTCTCAACCTGAGCGAAGTGCAATTGGAGGTTGGCAGCCACCTCTTGCTCGGCCGTCAATGGTCGTCCGTCAGACGCGGTCGCAAAAGGGAAGGTGGTGGGTATCTTTGGGGGCCCTCCCCCCAAACATCATGATAGTTTTGGCTTCGTCCCATTCGCTCTTGGGGAGTCCGAAATCTCTGGCCCCCTGCAACTCAGAGGCCTTCAGATCAAGGTAACCGCATCTGTCTTTCTCAAGTGCACGCGTCAAAATTGGGCCAGCGTCAAGTAGAAACTTCTGCATGGCGAGCTTGGCCCGCAGATCCGCGCTGGTTCCATGGGCCAACTTGGATAGAGCGAGCTCTAGTGCAAGATATGCCGGCCTCCACTGGTCGGCTTCGGGGTCAATGGCAAACCCTGAGATGTCCCGATGTCTCAGGCGCCCTCTGAAGTGGAGCAAGCACCGTGTCGCCTCGGGCCCCCCACAGGGGGCCTCAGCAACTTTCTTGAGGACCCGCAGGACCCCCCCCCCCCTAACAGAAATAAGGTCCAAGGAGGACTCAGAGACGTAGCACTTGCGAGGTCTCCTAGGGGCAACTCCAAAGGCCATGACAGCATCACTCTTAATGGTATCG